CTGCAGGCAGGAGACAGCAGGTGGATCAGCAACAGTCAGCTTAGCAAAGGAGCTTAGCAAACAAAGCAGGCCCAATGTGATCTTAACTCAAGAGATGGATCCACCAGCCTCAAGCTCAAGCAATGTTTGCACCAGCAGCACATGGAAGCAGGTCTCAAAGGAGCCTCCTGCTCTAGCCATAGGGTCCACCGGTTGGCTTGGCCCACAGGTAGTGTAGCACACAGGTTGAGGCAGAGAACTAGCAAAAGCAGTAGCACGCTGGTTCAATCACCAGAGAGCAAGCGTGAGATGGGATGCTGGCTGTCTTTATTTATTTCGGTCGTCCTCCAATCAAGCTGCGACCTGATTAAGCTCTGCCCACATGTCCTAATGGCCGAGTTGGCACACTAAACCTAACTCACAGAAGGCAGCAGTCAAAAAGGACATTTGACCCAAAAAAGAAGCAAAGGAAACCACTGGAAAGAGAACTAGAGTTAAAGGCAACAGAAGTAACTATGGGCCTGTACACACTCAGGAGCCTGGTGGCAGAGTAGATTACAAGTTGGGCTGCTACCTGCAAGATCAGCAGTTGGAAGCCACCATCTATCTGCTCCTTGAAAGGAAGGTCAGGCCTTCTACCCTCATAAAGACGAGCAGTTTCAGGAGCCACAGGGGCAGTTCTACCCTGTCCTGTCGGGTCAATATGAGTCTGAACGGACTCGATGACGTGGAGGACTGGAGGAACAGACACACGGCTGAGTGGGTGTAGAAGGAAGAATGGATATACTCAAAAATACATGTATAAGTTTGATGAGATACTTGCCTTTGTAATACATAGATGCAAGAACATATCAAGGGGAAAGCCATGAAAACTGAGGCATAACCAAACATCCTAATGAAATGGAGTCACCGGGCCTGGAAGATCAGACTCACAGTCTCGAGGGAGACCAAGGACAATTAGTATAACGTAGCCTACGAAGACAGTGTTCTGTATCCACATGGTAAGTAGCGGCTGGGGTCTGAAAGGCTCCTGAGTCAGCATGTAAGGTGCGATATTGATCTTTTCCGAAGGAAAGATGATGAAAATTAAAAACACAAAAACAGTTAGTCTCAGGGACTAATGGGCCACACAAACATCAGACTTCATGACCCCGAGACCAGATGGACTAGACCAGGGGTCCTGAAAGTGTGGCCCGCGGGCCACATGCGGCCCACCGAGGACATTTATCGTGCCCACCAGGTGTTTTTGCCCGTTTTGTTTTTTTACTTCAAAATAAGCTATATGTGGTGGGGTCGGTGCACTCGGAGCTATGGGAGTGTGAGAGCGGGACGGGAACCTGGGGGCGCTCTGTCTTTATGCAGCTTCTCCGGGGGTGAGGTTTTCTAGAATCATTTTAAACCTGCTGTCTAGTGTGCGCCAAGTGCGGCTACGAGCTGTTCTCCCGCCGCTCCAAGTACGAGCACTCGTCGCCGTGGCCTGCTTTCACAGAGACCATCCACGATGATAGCCGGCCAAGCGGCCCCGAGCGCAATCAGCCTGATGCCTTTAAGGTGTCCTGCTGTAAATGCGGCCACAGGCTTGGCCACGAGTTCCTCAATGATGGGCCCAAGCGGGGGCAGTCCCGCTTCTGAATATTCAGCAGCCCCCTGAAGTTCATCCCTAAAGGCAACAAATCTGCCTCCCAGGGGAAGTAAGCGGGCAGCCCAACCCCAAGCAGCCACAGGCATTGGTCACC